ATCTTATTGTTTGGGAGGTTAGAAGTCTTAAAGTCAAGATGTTGGCAGAGCTATGTTCTTTTTGAAGGATTTAGGGGAGCATCTGTTTTCTTGTCTTTTCTGGCTTCTAAAGGCTGCCATGCTTTGAGTCCTGGCTCCTTCTTCTGTCTTTAGGGCCAACAGCCTGGCATCTTTAAATTTCTCTCTCTTTGAGCTCTGCCCCGTCCTCACGTCTCCTTCCGTGACTCTGACTCTCCTGCCTCTCTCTTTGTATAAAACTTCTTTTATTGAGATAAAGTTTATATAAAATTCACCATTTTAACCATTGTGAAGGATGCAATATAGTGGTTTCCAGTGTATTCACAATTTGTGCAACCATCATCACTGTTTCCCTCTTATGAGGACTTTTTTTTACTTTTTTTAAAAAAATAAGGTATAGTTGACAAATAAAAATTGTATAGGCCTGCCGTGGTGGCTCATGCCTGTAATTCCCGTGCTTTGTGGGGCCAAGGTGGGAGGATTACTTGAGGCTGGGAGTTTGAGACCAGCCGGGGTAACATAGTGAGACCCTGTCTCTACAAAACATAAAAAATTAGCTGGGCACAGTGGTGCACACCTGTAGTCCCAGCTGCTTGGAAGCTGAGGCTGAGGTGGTAGGATCACTTGAGCCCAGGAGTTAAAGGGTACAGTAAGCTATGATCAAACCACTGCACTCTAGCCTTGGCAACAGAGCAAGACCCTGTCTCTCAAAAAATAAATTAAAAAAAAAATTAAGAAATAGTTTATATTTACAGTGTATAACATGTTTAGATATATGTATACATTGTTAAATGGTTAAAGCAAGCTAATATATCAATTATCTCACATTCTTACCATTTTTGTTGTGAGACCATTTAAGATCTCTCATCAGTTTTTAACTATACAGTGTGTTATTATTAACTGTTACCATGCTGTATAGTAGATCTCTTGACCTTATTCATCCTAACTGAAGCTTTGTACCCTTTATGCATCTCCCTGTCCCCCTGTCACTACCCCTCTCACTCTGCTTCTTTGAGTTCAACTCTTAAATTCTACATATGAGTGAGGTCATGTGGTATTTGTCTGTGCCTGGCTTACTTCACTTAGCATAGTGTCCTTCAGATTCATCCATGTTGTTGCAAATGACAGGATTTCCTTCCTTTTTGAGGCTGATTAGTATTGTGTTGTGTACGTGTATGTATATACACACACCACATTTTCTACTAATAGCTACTGTTTATGAGCATCTACTGTGCACTGGGTCAACTAGGGGCTTCAGATGCACTGTCATTTAGCTTTTTATGAGCTGAATTGCTCTTTCTGCCAGTATCCGCTCACATAATACCACAGTGTGGAGTTACCTCACATCTGGACGAGATGTGGTGTGATGTAAGTGGCAGCGACTTCTGGGTTGGTATCCATGGACTATTAATTTTTTCAGAATTGCAAGATCAAAACAATTGCTAGTGTTTGTTATAAAGTTAAATAGACAGCATATGACCCAGTATCTCCACTCCTGGGTATTTACAGAAGAGAAATGAAAGCATGTGTCCACACAAAGACTTGTACTCAAATGTTCATAGCAACATAGTAGCCCCAAACTGGAAACCCCCAAAATGCCCATCCACTGGTGAATGGAGAAACAAGTGGTGGTATATCCATATAGTGGAATACTACTCAACAATAAAAAGGAGCAAACTACTAATATACTCAACAGTGTGGATGAAGCTCAGAGGCATTATACTAGGTGAAAGAAACTAAACACCAAAAGCTACATGACGACAGAGTGAATATACTTAACACTACTGAACTGTACACTAAAAATGATTAAGATGGTAAATATTATGCTATGAATGTTTTACCACTATTTTAAAAAGAGCTATATAAACTATGATTGTGTTGATATGAAATTACAGGGCAAGATTATAGTGACAGAAAGCATACCGGGTGGCTGTCAGAGGCCAGGGTTCTGGGAGGGACTGACTATAAAGGGCATGAGGGAACTTCTTGAGGTGATGGAAATGTTCTGTATCTTGGTTGTAGTGGTGGCGATGGAATCGTACACATTGTCAAAATTACTGAATTGTACACTTAAAATTTATGGGTTTTGATTGTCATGGAGGGTCAGAGTGTGCTGGCTGGGCCCAGACTGGCTGTTGAAAGTGAGAGGGCACCGAGAGCCAAAATACCTGTTATCAACAAGATTTGGCATATTCTTTATTAAAGATAGAACCTTTCCATTTAAAAAAAATTTGTGAGTTTTATTATTTGTAAATTATAATTCAATAAAGCTGATACATAAAAAGAGAGAAGGCCAGGCGCGGTGGCTCACACCTGCAATCCTAGCACTCTGGGAGGCCGAGGCGGGAGGATTGTTTGAGGTCAGGAATTCGAGACCAGCCCGAGCAAGAGCGAGACCCC